ATATATATATATATATATATATATATATATATATATATAATTTTTAGATTTTAGTATCCAGCAATAAATTCGTGAATCCATAGCCAACATGGAAATCGTAACATCACAAGTCGTCATTTTTCTGACAACATAGATGGTGTATTTGATACAGAAGAATTCTTTCATCAGATGACAAACCTGAAAGATGAAACATCTTCCAGATATGGCATGAAGATTAATAGTTGAAAATCTTTAAAAATCAGAAAGGATTTTCAACCAACATAAAAGATGGCGTGTCAGGAACTTAAAAATAGTGAGACTATTCAAATACCTCGGCTTTAACTATCAGAATGGAAACGGTACGGGTGTGTACGTATGGTTAGAACATCAACTCTGCATTTATGATACCGAGTTTCGAATCTCACTATAGTCGATTTGTCAAGGATGTGATTTTTTGACAAAATCGGCCTGGTCAGAGGATCCCAGCATGCGGCACCGCTGAAAAGCACCTGAAATGACATAACACGAACTGATTTATGTTGAGTGGATAGTTGCGCTAGTAAGAAATGACGCGCTTTTCATATACCAACCTTTTATTAATCCCATTTTTCTCAAACAAAATCTTCATATGTGGATTTTATTTTAAAATATTTCGTATGAACAAATCTCATTGATTTATTCACGGATATATCTTTATACATTTTATTTACTGTTACATATGTTGACCGCAAACGAATTTGTTTGATGAATTGGCAAGTAGGCCGGGCCGAGAACTTTTCTCCACACCTTCGTATATACGCATATATCTATATATACGTACTACTAATTTATATAACTACTAATTATTGGATATGTGCAAAAGCTTCCAGCGCTCTTGTTAAAAGATGAAGTCACATTTAAAATTTCGTTTATAGCTTGAAACACTTATACACCCATAGTAATATTTTTTTTATACAGACATACGCTTGCACCTAATTACACGCACGTCAGATAGATAGATAGATAGATAGATAGAACGAGCAAATAGGTAAATTCTATTTTAGCAACTGAATTAGTTGTCCCTATAAGGCTGTATAAACAGGAATAGTTGCTTTATCATATTTCGATGTATTTATTTACATCTTAAAAAGAAGAAAAAAAAGCAATCCAATATATTATTTGGTTCTTAGTTTCCTGGGGTTTGATGACTGATTTCTTTTATTTCTGATTCTATTGAATCTTACTTCCGGTCTGCTGAGTTTGGGATTCTGAAGTGAACCAATAAAGTCAGTCAACCGTTTTTCGATTACGAATGAATCATCTGGAATAGTCTGAAAGTTTCAGAGAACAATTCTGTCAAAAAACGGTAAATCTGCAACTTTTTCTCAGCGTATGATTTACTTTTACTTCAATTAATCTCCTTTTATTTTAACTAAATGTTCAGCCAATACAAGGCTTAAGATTCACTCAAGGTTATTGTATGGAGACAAAAGGAAGAGGTAAGTGTAGATTATATGCAGGAGAGATCACTGACCATAGACCTGAAGAGATTAAAATTGGTCAGGGAAGCATTCAAATTGCAGTCTGCTACACAAAGGAGCGTTACTAGGGAGGAAGTTGACCAATGGAATACGAAGGGAAGCGAGTCTTAAGGTCTGAACTGGTGGAACTAAGGAATGTAGCTCATCTGAACATTTGCCATGGAAATAGCGATAGAATAGAGAGAGGCTTAGCTGTAAAGGTTTGAACTGGTGGAACTAAGGATGGTAGCTCGTCTGAACCTTTGACATGGAAATAGCAATAGATTAGTGACAGGTTTGATACGTTACGTCTGTGGGAAAAGGAGTTTAAGGTGGAAAATCATTCACAAGGATATGTAAACACATTTGAACTCTGGAAATAGTGAGGATTGGGTAGATATGGCGGCAATATTCCAATTTTAGTTTGACTCTTGTAAAGATAGAATTTAAATGTGTAAATATATTCCACAAAACTTGTGCATAATATCTTTAAAAACTATTGTTAAAACTTGATTGATTTCGTCTATTAAAGCCAGCTAATGGAGGATTTATTACTTATGCATTTGGGGGTAATGAAATAAAATCGTTTACCTCAGAGCTATGATTAGTACTTTCATTTCACAGCCCAGTTCGCTAGTTTAGTGAGTTCAATACTAACTGTATCCCTTACAAGTGTTGCATTGTATCTCATTTAGATAGACTTACTAAATCAAGCGGATTTGCATTTTATCAGAATTGGCTATGCATTTATGAACAATGTCAGAGTTTAGGCTTCTGGTAAAATTACAAGATTTCATAATGGTGATTTTTTTTATAAGTGGATATGCAACACTCATGTGGAATATTGAGGCAGCACAATCTTCTTACTCCTATTTTATTTCGTGTTGTGCGAAACGAGTTGAAAATCAATGAAATATATTCATTTCATTTGTGTTTCAGCGACGTCTTATATATCAACTAAACATAATATCAACTAAACATCAACTAAACATAATATTTAAATCTCAGAAATAAAAAAAAATAACAAAACAAAAACCTTTTAATCAATCAATTACTAAATATTGTGATAATGATTGTGCGGAGGTATGCGCTTTTGCTTACCCTGATGTTAGTGATTTGATTTTTGTATTCTTGCTTGTATTTTGTTACGAATGCTGAAAAGAAAATCATATGAACATTGAAAGAGAAAAAGAAATGAAATGGTTTTTAGTAGCTGCATTTTTATTTTTAAAAATTTTAATGAAATGTTTTTTAAAAATATTTTTTCATTATTTTATAATGAAAGCAAGTTATTCAGTTTATAAACCCATATGTTAAAAATTCATTTAACATAAGACTTCGATTAATTTGAGAATATTAGAAGTACACAAAAAACTAAATTTAAATTGAAAATATAATTTGTGTTAGCTTAAGAATCAAGTAGCAGTCCGTCACAAAATAAAATTGCAAAATGAAGGAAAAAAATCTTCAACTAGGTTTTAAAAAGTTCTCTTCGCTCAGGTCGACGATTATAAACAAATTGTTTTTGTAATATTTATCGATGTTATATCGCAACTGAAAATCATTTTTCTTCCGGATTTCAAAGCAAAATCTTTGATTTTTGTGAATTCGTCTACCATTGAACTTTGGTTTCCATTACCATTTTTGACATTAACGCCTCTCTCCTTGATAGAATTTCTTAGTTATGGGTATTTATTTAAAATAATTCTTTAAGTGCCATAGTTTTGGTAATCTCAAAGTTTTAAATAACTACCAAAGTTACTGAATTTGTAGATTTAGAAATTGTTTTCCAATCCGAAATTTCGTTTTCAACGGCTCCATCTTCAAAGAATTTTAGACAAAAAGATAGTCTTCCAAAAGATTAAGGTGTTATAATCTAATAGATGAAGGATAAATGTGTAACGAATATTTTTTTTCAAATAAAGATAAATGCGTATTATTCATTATTCAGACGATTTAACATCAAACTCAAAGCTTGACTTTGGCAGACGTTAAGAGTAAATCATTGTTTGAATAATTTAATTTAAGAGCTTTTAAAAACTGTAATTTATATTCTCAGGCTCTAAACTAGTCACAAGGGAAAGTATTAAATTTGAAACTTCTTGTAGGAATTTCATTGCATTTAAAGTAAATAAAGAGTTTATTACTTTAACAGTTTTCATTGTCTTTATTGGAAATAACACTTTTCCTTTTCTGCAGTGAGTTTGTAACGACGAAACCCAGTCACCTGTTTGTTACCGACAACAAAATATCGTCCATATTCTGTAGCTATACTGAGACGAGAAATTGTTCCAAAACAAAGGTAAAATGTATTGCCCGAGTATGTGGGCGTATTCTTAATGGCGAAACCTATTTCCAAAAGCTTTTATTCCTTTAAACATTGAAAGAAGCATTTTCAGCGAACAAAACTACGTAAGTTGAAGAAAAGATATTGTCATGTGACGTTCAAACTAAGTCGATTTGGCAAAATAAGTGAGACGAAAGTAAAGTTGGTGAGTTCCGATTAGAATAACGCTGGACAACTTGTGATTAAACATTCCTCGTACATTATAACATGTTCCTGTTTGTAATATTAAAGAGCCGAGAATTTGCTCAAAACACAATGAAAGCCCAGGTACGTTTGACAGTTCTGGACAATATTGTGGAGCCCAGTATTCATCGACTTTATTCAGCGGAAGATGAAGTCGACCAGCATAATTCGGCACCTTGACAAATGGCAAGAGTTGCCGCAAACTGGTGTGAGAGTTTTTCGTAATGTTCCTTTACTTCAGTTCAGTGGGAAAATTGATCGTTCTTGAAAAATTGTAGCCAGAAGGCTGCGGAGTTCGCAAAAAGAGCAAAATCAAGACAGTCTGTTAAAATACTTTGCAATATATATCATGTCCCTAATAAATATCAACTGGTAAGAAAATATAACAAAGCAATGTTCACAGCTTTAGTTAATAACAAATTCGTTATACATTTTGGTACAATCGTCAACTGTATAAATAAGTCTAGGCTAAGTCTAGTTTAGTCTCGTATATTTTTAAATGGAAATTTCTGAGAACTTAAGACTAGGAAGATTGTGTAGCAAATGAGAATGAATTTCTTGCTTTGAAAATTAAGACTGAAATTGAATTTTGAACTCAACTTTAGTAATCATTGTGAAAGATTTAGAGAGTTACAGTGCTTAACTTACTCGAATGTAGGATTTGTGGCGATAAAGAATTCTGACCTGTTTTGAAAATCAGCATTTTTTTACCTAAGTTCGAACATCGATGGCTTACACCACTGGTAGCTAAGCGAGCTACATTTGTAGTACAGCAAGTTCGGTAATCACTGGGTACACCAAACTAATTGACTAGTGACAGAATTACATGAACTTTGTAAATACCTATTTAAGTCTCCATTTGTCTATATTTTTCACTGTCATGAATAGCAAGCGTTCGAGCCTAGGTAAAAAAAAAAAAATGAATACGGATATTCAAGATAGATTACCTATAAAGAGAACTAGTTTATAATAATTTGTCTCTTCTCATTTAGTTGTGTCGGGCTAAGATTAGCATCTATCTATCTATCTATCTATCTATCTATCTATCTAAAAGCACCCATATACGCAAATGTGTTTATGTATATGTAAGTGTCTGCGTGCGTATGTAACATCTTCAATAAAAGAACAGCCGTGAAAGAAGAAGCAGTGTCATGTGTGAGAGTAAAAATAAGAAAAACTAAAACACAAAAGACTGATCAACTCTCAGTGTTTATCATAAAATATCCAACTGAATAGAGTGGGAAATAAAATAATATTACAATAAATGAAATCATGAACCACTGATCTTGTCAGCAACTACAATTTATTTCGATCAACTTTGATTTTCAAGATTCTTTTTCAGAGTATTTCGTTGTTCAAGTAAGCAAGCTTAATATATTTTTAAAGTATGAAAACTTGATAGTATTAAAACCTAAAAATAATTGCAATACACTTATTTGAGAAGACATAATGCTGCCTGTGGCTTGACGTATTTGAAACTTTACGCGTTCCATTAACAAACTATGTAGCCCTGGTGAACAACCATAATTTTCCCCTTCTATATTTTCTGCAATAAAATGCGAAACATCGCCATTACATATGCGCATGCGTGGACGGGTTTAATAACTGGAGCAAAAAGGCGCGAAATATATGGGCTTAAGTATGTCCTGTTTTTCTTTTTAATACTGCCTGTAATATGAATTGCAAGTCGGATGTTATAAAAACAAATTTGATCCTGTCAAGACATTATTGTCAAATATTGTTTTCCTTGTATCTTCCTTTTATTTATTCTTTGTGTCTTTTTGTAATATTCTTGTTTTATTTGAGCAAAGGGAAGGAATTATTTCCATGCAATTTTTATGCTCAGAATAAAGAGATAATGTGTTTCGCTGTTGGTATGTCTTGAATATTAGCTCGATGTTTTTCAGCTTGAAGAATTGTGCGCAACGGTTTGAAACAGAATTAAACAGTTTGGGTGGAGAATAACAGCGGACAGCATCGAACATTTTAAAGGCTAGAGGAAAAGAACGGATGATGATTATCATGTTTTCTTACATGCACTGCAAAGACGCTGCCACACCTACGTACACACCCGGAAGCACAGATTCTCCCATTCCAACCCCGACACATTTACCGCTTTTGATTATCCCCTTTCATAGAAATAAAAAGACGCAATCTTTTGCTCTTTGTCTCTCTGCTTCACTTTCTATTCGACACGCACTGCACGCGGCCAGTTGTTCTTTCTTAAGCCTGCACCAGGACATACGCCTCAACTACAAAATTTGGTCTGGTCACGCATATGAGATAAACTAATGCGTGCATTGTTTTAAATGAAACCATATTCTCTATCATTTACCCTTATAGTCCTTATCTTTCTATCTTAATTACATTTGGGTTCCGCACATTATATATATATATATATATATATATATATATATATATATATATAAATATAAGATATAAAATCCGGTGTTCTTATAGATATTTTATTTTTACAAAATATATAAATTTACAGAGCATTAATGGTTGGAATGTGTAGCGAAAATAACCATATTTTAAATCAATTAATTTATAATATATATATATATCTATATATATATATATAAAATTCTGTCCGAAAAATACCCAGCCATTTATTTGTTGTTAACGAGAAAATAGACTACATAGGGCAATATCTCCTTAGTCCCCTTCAAAGTACTCGCCATCAGCGACTGTGTCAAGTTCTATTTAATCTTGTCCACAGTGGATTATCGGCAATTTTAGCTTTGAAATAATTATCTCTTTTTTTACAAGGTCTTATTTTCTCTGTACCGTGTCCCTCTCAAACGTTGGACGATCTTGGATCTCTACAACTTCCCATCCTTTGCAGCTCTTAATAAAGTTCGTCTTTTCGTTATTTCTCCAAGTCTCTGTTATGACAAGCATTTACTGAAACTCATTAGTAATGAAAAATAAAAATTTGCTTCTGTCCACTGTCTCTTTTGCTTTCAAAATGTCCTGTGAATGCCATTTTCTCCAGGTCCACTTTCTTCAATATGTGTCCTAGAAATATCAACTCTTTCTTTCTGATTCTAAGTATAAGCAGTCTTTTTGTTTTCATTTTCCTTAAAACTTCCATCTTTACTCACATTTTCAGTCCATGTGATTCTCAGCATCCTTCTGTAGAACCACATTTCTGTTGCCTCAAGTTTCTTCTTCATTATGTGACGAGATTGTTCAAAATTCATATAGGAGGAGTTCAGTACTTTTCTTTTTGTTTCTGACGCAATGTTACTGTTTTGTAGTACTTTACTTAGCATTTCAAAGACATCTTTTGATATTCCAATTCTTCTTCGGATTTCGGTGTCACATTTTTTTCCCTGTGTTAGAATTTTTCCCAGATATTTTAGTTTTTGTATTTGCCTAATTTCGACTACTCTAATTATTAGCTCGCGTCTTTGGCTGTTTCTCTTGCTGAGATTCAATCTGCCATTTATAGAGTAACCTCTGTCTTTTTAAGCCTTATAAATTGTGGAGAAATCAAGGTTACATTTTTTTGCTTAAAGACGAACGAGGAAAAAATACTGTATAATGAGAGCCAAATATCAATTTGGCATTTGTTGAAGAAATTTTTTTAATGGCAAACAATACATTCGTTGTTTTCTGAGATGTCACTCCGGAGATGAGGATTTTCTTAATGTGAACAAAGATCAACAAGGACGACAGACTGAAAAATACTCTGGAAAATTAACTTAGAACAATAGTTACAGTTGTTTTTCCAACAAAATTTGAAGTTTCTCCTATATTTACGTTTCATTATTTAGATGCAACAACAAGCAAATTGAACAAATTGATAAAAAAATCAGAAACTACGTTGTTTTGAGGTGAACTAATCAGTGCTTAATCTCACTAACCCCGCCCCTCTTTTCGTTTGAATTTCTGGGGTAGGGATCATTATTTACAATTTTTACACTCGGACTAGTATCCTCATCTTTGTTATTGTTACGACACCGTTTCGCCGGCATTCTTCAAGTGACTTGAGTCAACCTTCATGGAATTTCAAACTGAACACTTTATTTAACCTACAGGTGTAAATCGTTCTCTTTCCATTGCCCTGTCTAAGGAGATTTTGTCTTTTTTAATCATTTCACCCTAAGTAAGATAATAATGCCACAAAGACGCAAATGGTTACTGGGAATGGAAGAGAACGAGAAGAATTTAGTGTGGAGAAAGGGCAATAAAAGAACAGGATTTAGAAAGACAGAAGATGGCGATTGACGTTGCATTTAAATTCTTGAAGGCTGTAGGTGGTAGGGAAGCAATAAATCGAAAGAGAGTTTCTCAGGTGATTAGTGCGAGTGAAGAAACTATTAGAATAGAACTTAAGGTTACTTCTAGCTATTTTAGTAGTAAAATGAAGGAACCTAGTTGCCAATCTAGTAGTAGGCTTAAATTGACGCTGTTGAGTTAGCAAAGAGGAGAGATCATTGGAATAACTGCAATGGAAATCTTTTTCAGTACTTCTCAGTCTCCTCCAACCTTTTTCACCAAAATAGGATTTCCGCCGACAAAATTATCATTCAGTGGAATTCTTTTCTTGTTCTGACGATCTTGAATTTGGAATGTGGTCTAAAAGAAGAATTCGAATCGTGGATTTGGACTCAATCAATCTATACGAATTACGAGATGCCATAATAACGTTATGGAAGCAAATTTCGAAAAATTGCTTCTACAACTGAGGCGATTCTAAAGACAAAAGGAGGTCGAAACCCATATTAGACGAGTAGACGTAATAAAAAAAACAAGTGGGTGTATATTAACGTGTTGCGAGAATCACCACTTTTCACTTTCTCATGGGAATCCAGGTAAAAATAAATAAAACATGCATGCATTAACAAAAAGAAATTACATGCGTTAATGTCTACAAAGTTGAAAGGAAAAGATATTTATTAAGAATGTGCTTGTTTATGTGTGTGATATACACGTGTGTGTGTGTATGTGTGTGCGTGTGTGTGAGACTTCTGTAGTCAGTGAACCGGGAAAACGAATATGGCTCAGTGGAGACGTCCGAATCTAAATTTGTTACATCTTGAAGCCAGAGGAAGAAAAAGAAAGCGGAAGGAAATGTTCGTCTTTTTATAGAATTTGCCAAACGATGTTAAGTATCGCTGTTGACAGCGCCACCTAACGGTCGTTTGACGAATCCAAGTGTGGTTACCTACAAATGTAAGCGGATTATGTATTAATATATTTTCAAAAGCAAAGTATTTCATCTTCAAGGCTAGTCACAAATATATAATGAAAATCAGAAATTTGGAAGAATTTTGGTTTGGTTTGACTTGTTTTGTTTTACGGCATATCAACCTCAATGCATTGGTAATAATTCATTGTTGGTAATAATTTTTTTACAAAACTGTATTGCTGGTATTAAAACCTATTTTTACACTTTCATAGTGTTTTGATCCCAGGTTGAAGGTTAACCATTTGCCCATAGATGGGACCCTAACAGGTGCTACCACTCAGAGTGGACCTGGGAACACCAGTAATTAAGAGGTGGTTCTGCGCTCCTCAAAACCTCCCGATCAGAGGCCTTGCAGTTGGACGTAGTTTATCGTCATACCCAGGACAGGAAGAATTTTCGTTTTCATTTCATCAAGAACTAAAGTTTATACAAAAACAACTTGGAAAAGATATTGAAACCTCTGAAAATGTTACCCATTTCGCTACCACGTAGGCCTGACCTGAAATTCAAACTCTCCATACGTATATAGATGTGTCCGAAGCGTGCGGCATTATATCAATATCTTATTAGTGACGTCGACGCCCTCACTCCTCGCAGATAAGTTTTTGATGTAAATAAATAAATAAATATATCCTGTTTCAAACACAAAATAGAAAGTTGGCGCCTCGTTTCATTATCAAGTCAGAAACAAGGCCACGTTTCTTGAAAGCGTTTGTTGCACGCGTCTTTTGATTATTATTGTGCTTGAAAATCAATATTTAATATAATGGATTCGCACATCAGTTCTCGGCGCCGGAGGAAAATTCGCTTTCGATGTGCTCACTAAATTTACCCTAAATTAGCTATTTATGCGTGTGCCAATGCAGTTGAGAGGTGTTGTTGGCCTCAGTTATAAAGTTTAAGATTTTTTATACTTTTTACAAATATATCTAGACGTATTATTTGATGGGTATAGAATTTGACAGTATCATGTTTGTCTTTCTATATATATATATATATATATATATATATATATATATATATATATATATATATATATATATATATATATCAAAAATCTGGCCAAATTTTATACAATTTTTTTTCTGTTTAGATTTTCATATGTCGGTTTTAAGTCTATATAAACTAGGATATTTACTTAGTTCGGTACAGCAGGAGGAAAAACAAAAGAGAATGGATTGAGGAAGACTGTGATGCGACAATCTTCTAAAGCGGGAGGACTGTTCTCATAGAAAATCGGCATAACAAATCCTGGGTGTAAGTCTCAATTTCGGGGATCGGTGGAAAATATAAATTTATTTCAGCCACGTGTGCTTATTTAATTTTTTTCAGCTAAGTCTGTCTCAAAGCTGCAGTAAATGACACCCGGTGAGGATTGAAATAAATACATTAGTAAACTGTTGTTGCAAGTCGAACTGCTAATCATCACACTGATTTTAGCCTCGCCGAAATTCAAATGAGTAAGGCTGAACTCTCTGGATTAGCGATTTGACGATCGAGACAACTTCAATAACTATCACACTATACTCGATATTTGTTAAATTTCGTGTATAAAGCGTTCTCATACATAATACGCTCATTCACATTCGGCAACGATGTTCTGGGAAAAATCTCCTGTGTATAATACGCATAGACGTTTTGGAATTTGAAGCAGTTATATTCAGCCAAAACGCAACTGATAGGTTTTTTTAGGCATCTCACCCCAAGCAAGGCGGGAGTACCACTAGTACACAGGGGCTTACGGAGAGTGAAAGTAAGAGAAAAGAGGGGCGTTTAAGGAAAGGACAAAGAGAAGCACGGGGATCCAGATCAAGGCATCAGATAATGTCGATTGACATTACATTTAAAAAAATTTAAGATTATACTTATCAGGGAAGTAAGAGGAAGGGAGTTCCACTGTCGGGAAGTGCGAGAGAAGAACATGTTGGAGTAGAAGAGACGGTTGCATTTAACTATTTCGACAGTAAATAGATGAGGCCGAGATGCCAACCTATTACCACGCTTAAATTCATGCAGTTGGGGCACCAGTAAAAATAGCTTGCCAGAGCAGTTGTCATGAAAATATTTGTAGAAAAGACAGAGGGAAGCCTTAGCATGTCTGTGAGAAGGTGACTGTAGTCGAGTTGCTAGGTCAGGACCTATCACATTGCGTATCCGTCTTTGGATTTTGTCGGGAACCTCGAGATGAACAGTGGGGGCACCAGACCATATATGGCAACAGTATTCCATGCATGGACGAATGGTAGATGTGTAGATTTGAGGCATGGACTCAGACGAGAAAAACCTTCTGGTGCGACACAGAGAACCAGCGAGCTTGTCATTCTTGTGGGATGGCCAGTATTTTTCCTCCACTGAAAGTAAGCATCAACAAGCTGCTTAAATTGCTTCTTCGCAGAACGTAGAACTAATGGGGCACAAGCGACTCCGACAGGATTTTTTTGCTGACTAGGATTTTCCCTGACACGTAAATATATATTGGAAGCCTGGCAGAATATAATTAATACCATCATGACAAAGTCATTAAAAAAATGCTGCATTGTGAATACATTGGATGTCACCGAAAATAACATCCTTTTTTATTTTTAAAGAGGAACGATGAGAAGGCATTGTTGAACATGACCACATCGAAGATAGCGAATACATCTGACAAAATAGATGAAAATCTCATGGCAACGACTTTTGACACGAGCAACAGGTAAGCAGACTAAAATGACCTTTATATGAATATTTGATTTAAAAACAAATTCAAAGTTTGGTTAGTGATTTCAATTATTTTCTAAAGTTTAATTAGTTTGTACCATAGATATAACTTACTTTCGGACGTACAGTCGCTAATATGGCGACACACATACCTGGATAATTTTTATATTTTGTTCCTGTGTATAATACGCAAGTCTAAATTTTAGGGAAAAGCGCCGATTATACACGAACCCTTATGGAATTTACTGAGCTAAGTTAAACAAAAGACCAAACGTAAGTGAACATGTACAAAACTAATGTAATAGTTGGGAAGTGTTACCCTACACTAATATATTCGATCTTGGTCTGTTCGAAGATGTCAGAGTGGGACAGTGCAATGATGAATAGATTAGCAAGATTATCGACTTGCTGCAACGATACAGCGATGTATCGAGATTTTTAATAGACATCATTTCCGGTTATATTTTATCGTATAAGTTTTCCTCATAACTTTAATGTTGGAAGGAAACTTAACCATGGAAACTCCATAGAATATCAATGAGCAAAAGATCGATCCCTGTTCAGTGCCGCAGCAACAAAACCCAAGAAGGAAGTACAGTGATTGGATTCATTACATTGGAAAATAATCTAAACAGACTTGTTTACTAATGTGTTTTTTAAACTTTATCTTTGTCAGGAGCAAGGCCTATAATTGTGACACCTTGTGCGGATCGAAATCATTGCATTCAAGAATTGGCCAATGATACTGATTTTCTAACTATCACCCCACGCCAGGTTATACTTTCTTTCTTTCTTTCTTTCTTTCTTTCTTTCTTTCTTTCTTTCTTTCTTTCTTTCTTCAACCATTATCTCTTTCTGTCTTTCTTTCTTCAACCATTTTCTTTCATTTCTTTCTTTCTTTAACCATTTTATTTCTTTCTTTAACCATTTTCTTTCTTTCTTTCTTCAACCATTTTCGCTCTCTCTTCTTTCTTTCTTTCTTTCTTTCTTTCTTTCTAATCACAATATCGCCGTTACTGCTATACACCAATATATATGTCAGGATATAGAAGCAGCTTTCAAATATTCACAAGTGACATAATTAATCTGGTGTTTAGTCCAAATCACAACATTCCAGACGAATTTTTTTTTTACTTTCATTTTTTCTTTTAGTTTAATTTGTCGCTCTCAACGCTTTTCGCTACACTTAAAAAAAAAACCCCGATGATTTATGCATAAGTGCAACTATTTTCTACCGAAATAAAATTTTGTATTCACAAAATGACCTTCAAAAATGAAAGGAAGAAATAGCTAGATAAATATATTTTACTGTGGAAATCTAAAAATATAAATATATTTATTTGATTTAGACTGATGTAGGCATAAATATAAGTAAATAGCAGAAGGGTAAAGAAGAATATATAGCGCCATTAAGTAGGACTATGCTTAAAAATCAACATTTGAAATTCGACGTTTTTTTTTTTTTTACTTCAGAACCCGTATGGTTAGTATATATATATATATATGGATAATTAAATTTCTTGGGAAAATCAGAATAACACATTTTGATTTTAACAGTTTCATAAAGACGTGATAATTTTTTTTTCACGTTAAAAGTGTTGGGTAAATAACAAAAAAAAGAGAGGATAAAACAGAAACAGATGATATTCTAAAATATACGACAATGTTTAAAAGTTCGAATTTTATTTTGCTGATGAAGAAGAGACTCGGGGCAACGGAGGTATAGTTCTACGGAAAGATGGACCGATCGTGTGAGCAACGATGAGGTTTTAGAGAGGATGAAGACAAGGAGGAAGCTTATAGTTAACATCAGAGAGAGAGAGAGACAGCTGAAATCTCTGGGACACATAATGAAAAAGGAGGGCTTGGAGAATTTGCTATTCACAGGTCGAATAGAGGGAAAGTGGGACAAACGAAAGCAACGCGTGACATACTTGGCGGGCTTAAGCAAGTGGATGACAGAACATGGCCTGGGGGAAGTAGCAAAGGGACAAAGTTATTGAGAGCTACAAAGGATAGGGAGAAGTGGAGAGCCATGATCGTCTACGTCCTGAAGGGACACGTCACATAAAAAGAAAAGAATGTTTTCATCTGAAACGAACTATCTTAGTTGATGACATATAAGTTTTCCGTTTTCTCACAAAATAACTCCATAGTATCTCCCAGTTCTTATATGTAAAATTGAAATATTTGATATGTTAATTTATACCAAGACTCTGTTGACTATCAGTATTTGTACCTAAGCCATTCTCCCGCATATTATAAGTATATAACATCAAATACGGTAACGTGATCAATTCTTCTGGAAAAGTTCAATCTATGAATTCGTTCTTTATTTTCTTAAATTATAAAGTTATTTTATAGAATCCTTTCGAGTCTGGACATTACAGAAAGAATGTAATATAATGTTTTTCAATATTTTCATTACTCTCAAAATAGAAGAATTGAAAAGATCGTCTGAGTTGAATGAGTTATTGCCAGTGAGTATTTGTAAAATTTCTAAAATTTCTAGAGCATTAAAATTCTTTCTTTTTATGTGTTTTTGTCCTTTTAAGACGTAGGCGATCATGGCTCTCCACCACTATACCTTGTAGTTTTGTCCCTCTGCCACCTCCCCCAAACCATATTCTTTCATCCACTTGCTTAAGCCTGCCAGGTATGTTATGCATTTCTTTCCCTTGTCTAACTTTACCTCTATTCGACCTGTGAGTATCAGATTCTCCAGGCCCTCCATTCTCATTAGCTGCCTCTTCCTGATGTTAAGTATAAAACTCCTCCTTGTTTGCAACTTGTCTAAGACCTCATCGTTGCTCACACGATCAGTCCATGATATCCTTAGCATTCTTCTGTAGAACCACATCTCTGTCGCCTCGAGTCTCTTCTGCATCTTTGAGGAAATCGTCCAACTTTCGCGGAGGACAGATGTCACGTAACAGCACAGTATTCTTTTCTTTGTTACCAAAGAGATCCGCCTGTTTCGCTTTACTCTGCGCAGCTTTTGGAATGTGTCCTTGACCATGCCAATACATCTATGGATCTCAGTGTCGCATTTGCCGTCCTCTGGCAAAAATTAACTTTTTTAAAAAAATGTTTCACTGCAAACATTCGCACTATTATTTCTTGAATAAAGTTAAACCGAAATATCAAAACATGAAAAGTTTTTTCAATTTTTTTCAATCATCACATTTCCCTTAGTTTTTGTCTGAATTTCTGGGATGAAGAGTTATCATTATTTACACTATTTACATGATGATTATTGTTCTCATCTTTGTTGCCATTATCACAACTTTTCAGTCGTTATACCATTTAACCTTCATGAATTGTATCTCGATCTGGGTAACCTATAACGAATTCTGAATTAAACCCTTTATTTAATCTTGTAGATTAAATAAAGGGTTCATTTCGGAGTTCTCATTTTTCGTTATTTTACATCACGAATCCACTCAATACATAAAGAGAGATGTGACCTCATGCGTTTCAGGCCAATGCTCTAATAGCGGAATTTCAACATGATTCTGTATGTGAGCTAGAAATTGCCATTGAAAAACAATTAAAGGAAAGATTCAGTAGAATTTTGGGGGTTCAATTATTGTCACGATCTATATGCAAAAGTCTCTAAATTTTTATGTCTTATTAAAACATATTTGTCTCCGATACATTCAGTTTGGCAGAGCTGGGGATTTTAGAACATTCCAAATATTGTTTCAACTTATATATTAATAGCAGCTATCGGCCTTGAAATACATGGATACTGTAGATTTTAGAAGAAAACCTTCCGCGTTCTGAAGTGCATATTTTCCTTAAAAAGAATGCTTTATCGGAATTAGTTCTGTTGACTCAGCACAAACGCCATAATATCCTGAACTTGTGTGTGTGCGTTTTAAGTTCTTCGCTCTATAATTATTGAGTTGAGATGTCGTCAGCCTTGTACTATTGATGTCCACAACTATTTCGGATATCAAATCTTTTTACTATTTATCATCTTCCGTAATAACAAACTGCAAACGTTTCTCCGTCTCACAACAGGAGACAGAATCCATAAAAAGTGTCGTTAAGTAAATGCGCCGACATTTAATAGCACAGAAATTTATGGGTCTTTTGTAGGAAACACAGTCTTCGAATACACAACAGTTTGTACAATTCACGAGACGCGTTGGGTGTTATGAAAACCTCAGAGACGGAACATGAAGGTGTTCGTAATGATCTCACAGCCATCGGAAGAAAACTCGGATTCCGTTTACCCAGAAGAAGCCATATTAAGTTGACAGACAAGAAGATAGTATATATCACTGGAGCCATATATGCCCCGTCGCGTCTTTCTGGATACGAATTGCATACTTCCAACAAAATATTTACGCTTTCCTGGAATCTGATCAGAAATCTTTAGATTTTTATGATATTTAGTACTGGATAACGGATTGAGGAATTGGAGATCCGGTTTCGAATTCCAATCACTAGGGAAATGTATTAATCCTCCTATTCTTTACCCAGCTAATCATAAATAACAAAACAGGCTGGATCCTACAGCCTTGGGTGGACCGAGGACGACATACACCATATTCCGTGGTTTTCAGCGGTCGGTCAAGCGTTTGGAAATGGGCGCCGCCAAGCGCAACGAACACCCACTGAAAGGACCACGAATAATAATAATAATAAAAAAGCAACACCATACCGGATCGATACATCAGCCTGGAGGAGATTGTCTGTTTATACGATTGTTCAATCATCAGCCCCCACCCACCGACGATTAAAAAAAAAAGTACACACACACACACATATAACCAAGTATAGGATTGGTGTAGACTGAATCAAATTCTAATATTCAAAAACGCTATTCTTAAAAGAGTGCTCAATGCAGAGTAGAGCAAATATTATTTATTAAAAAATTATAACATAAACATATTATAGCATTACTACAAAAATAGCCATTTTCTTTCAACACTTCTGGTATCTTCTCAAGTGATGATGTTGAATGTAGAAGAAAGAATTTTAAAAAGTTCAAATCAACTAAACGCCCCTCAATAGGTGAAACGCTGTTACATAAGCCACAATGACCAATCAAAATACAAGCATATGATAATTCAAAAAACTTGACAACGAACTTTGGTAATAATTACTAATACCTTAATGTTAGTTTTAGACTAAAATACAAATCATTCTGATTAATATTAAATTTTGCTATAAAATTGAAATAATATAAAATTATTTAAAGAAGAAACTGAGGAAAATATACATATTTTATTATTTATTTTATGTTTTAAACGAAAAGCCAAATTTTCAGTTAAAGCAAACGCTAATCTAGATTCAAATTCAAATATCGTAACAACTTAGATACATTTGAAGGGATCTGAAACCAGATGATGTGGGAAGAAGAAGAAGTTTTACAAATGACAATGCATACACAATCATATTATAATATACAAACACGTAGACATATTTCGATATATAAACACACAAAAACACGCACCAAACAGGAAATATAATATCAGACACATACACATACAATAAAAAGCATATACAAGCAATCATACACATATACATTAATAAAGACATATACATATACATAGACAAACCCACTAAGATTCAAGTTTCAAATTATTAATAAACGAATGCAAACCAACTATTAAAATATTATTTACATGGGCAAAGATATATATAAAAAAAATGGTTTAATAGATAAAAGAGGGGTAGAAATGGAAAACAAATATTCGGCTATGAACAAAGCAAAGAAAAAAGATAATTAAACATATATATACAAATGGACAAAAACAATATATATATACATACGCACACACACACACACACAAACAAAAACAAACAAAAATAAAAAAAAAAAAAAAAAGAAACAAATTCAAATATTGGAACATGGAAAGTAAACCAGCATATATATAGAAAAGAAAACACATTAACACACAATTATATAGATATACCCCATATATACTCATATACGCATGAGTACACATGAATACGTACACGGACACAAACATATAAAAATGCATGTAAATAAATATACAAATACTTGTATGCACGTACACCGATACAGACACATACACACACACACACACACACACACACACACAC